AACACCATTATTAAGTTTGCTGACGACACAACAGTGGTAGGCCTGATCACCGACAATGATGAGACAGCCTATAGAGACCTGGCAGTGTGGTGCCAGGACAACAACCTCTCCCTCAACGTGATCAAGCAAAGGAGCTGATCGTGGACTACAGGAAAAGGAGGGCCGAACACACCCCCATTCACATCAATGGGGCTGTATTGGAGCGGGTCGAGAGTTTCAAGTTCCTTGGTGTCCACATCACCAACAAACTATCATGGTCCAAACACACAAAGACATTCGTGAAGAAGGCACGACAACGCCTTTTCCCCCTCAGGAGACTGAAAAGATTTGGCATGGGTCCCCAGATCCTCAAAATGTTATACAGCTGCACCATCGAGAGCATCCTGACCGGTTGCATCACCGCCTGGTATGGCATCTGCTCGGCATCGGACCGTAAGGCTCTACAGAGGGTAGTGCGTATGGCCCAGTACATCACTGGGGCCAAGCTTCCTGCCACCCAGGACATATATATACACCCAAGTCATAGACTGTTCTCTCTGCTACCGCACGGCAAGCTGTACTGGAGTGCCAAGTTTAGGTCCAAAAGGCTCCTTAAGAGCTTCTACCCCAAGCCATAAGACTGCTGAACAATTAATCAAATGGCCACCCGGACTGTGGTATTGTGTTGTGTGACAAAACTGCACATTTTAGAGTGGCCTTTTATTGTCCCCGGCACAGGGTGCATCTGTGTAATGGTCATGCTATTTAATCAGCTTCTTGATATGCCACACTTGTCAGATGGATGAATTATTTTGGCAAAGGAGAAATGCTCACTAACAGGGATGTAAACAAATTTGGGCAGAACATTTGAGAGAAAAAAGGTTTTTGTTCATTTGAAAATTTCTGGGATCTTTGATTTCAGCTCATGAAACATGGGACCAACACTTTACATGTGTTTTTTTTTTTTTTTACTGCCATTCCGATTCAAAAACCAACTGGTTGAACCAACTTGCAAGTAGCCTACCAATAAGCACGTTATTTTTCTATGTATTAAGGTAAGCAACGTTGATTATTTAATTCAAATATATGAAGTCATATGTTAAACTATAGGCTAGATAAATAAAGTTAAAATCTTATTAGAATTTGAGCATATTTGTAATCTAGCTAGCTATCTAGCTAACTTAGCTAGCGAAACAGAAAAAGTTCGGTTACTTTAATTTGCCACTTTAAAAGCTAGCCAGCTAACTTTTTCAAATACATTTAATTTTTTATTATGGGATATGTCAAATAGAGCTACAGACCCAGACTGACATTGGCAATTAGCTAATTGTTTATTTTATTTCAGTATTTCAGTGCGGAGTCAATTTAGGGAACTAGCCTATGTCTCATGAAGCCATTTGAAGACTGTTGCTGACTGAGAGGAGGTATGCATACATTATTTATAATAAATTATGTTTAATAAGTCTTGGTGATTCAATAGCCTAGTTAATCATTACATGACTTTTAACACACTATTTATGTTTTTCTCAGTCTGGCAGTAACCCAGAACTATCAGAGGCAGAGGATCTCTCTTTCGGCTGCGGCTGACAACAACAGCATGCAAGTTGTTCTTCTACATCATAATAATGATATGTCTGTATAGCGTTTTCTCTTCATTTTGCCAGATTAACTCTTGCTTATTTCTGAATATTAACTCATTTTTTCTTCTTCTCTGGAAACAGTCAAGTAGGTAGCCCAGTGGCTAAGGAGTTGGACCTGTGGTGGAAAGGTGACCGGTTAGAATCATGGGCCGGGCGCCGGAAAGAAAACGAGCAGAATTGATCTGACAACTGGAGTGTTGCTGGGTTCACATTCTCAAAACATTCCCCTACCGTTGGGCCCTTGAGCAAGGCCCTTAACGCCACAACATGCTCTCCATCCAGGGGCGCTGTATGTAGCATGAACCTCTGCTCGTCTCAACTGTATGTGTGAGGTCTACTGTTTGGGGGGGGGGGGTTGAAAACAGAGCAGATGACACATTTTTGCTGTTCACTGTAATTAATGGACAAAGTATTGTACTGTGTTGTAAAGAAGTCAGCCAAAGTTGACTTGGGCCATCATTCAAACAAAGAGATGCCTTACTTGCCACCAGTGCATATTTTCAAACTATGTTTGCATATATTGACAATAAATGTAAAAAATTATGCTGGTATTCTTTTGTCCATTATTTAGTTGTTTATTAAATTATATTCTTAGCTCAAAATATTACTAGTAGTAGCCATAATTCATAAATGGCACCATGCAGGGTTCTATATGGAACCATTTTGGTTCATTGAAGAAGAGCCTCTAGGGTTCTGATCAAAGAACCCTATAAAAGGGTTAAACAGTATATATAACTTTTAGGGGTTCCATATACAGTACCAGTCAAAAGTTTGGACACACCTACTCATTCAAGGGTTTCTCTTTATTGTTACTATTTTCTACATTGTAGAATAATAGTGAAGACATCAAAACTATGAAATAACACATAGCAGTAGTAGTAGTAACCAAAAATGTGTTAAACAAATCAAAATATATTTTAGATTTTAGATTCTTCAAAGTAGCCACCCTTTGCCTTGATGACAGCTTTGAACACTCTTGGCATTCTCTCAACCAGCTTCATGAGGTAGTCACCTGGAATACATTTCAATTAACAGGTGTGCTTGTAAAAAGTTAATTTGTGGAATTTCTTTCCTTCTTAATGCATTTGAGCCAAATCAGTTGTGTTGTGACAAGGTAGGGGAGGTATACAGAAGATAGCCCTATTTGGTAAAAGACCAAGTCCATATTATGGCAAGAACAGCTCAAATAAGCAAAGAGAAACGACAGTCCATCATTACTTTAAGACATGAAGGTCAGTCAATACGGAACACTTCAATAACTTTGAAAGTTTCTTCAACTGCAGTCGCAAAACCTATCAAGCGCTATGATGAAACTGGCTCTCATGAGGACCGCCACAGGAAAGGAAGACCCAGAGTTACCTCTGCTGCAGAGCATAGGTTCATTAGAGTTAACTGCACCTCAGATTGCAGCCCAAATAAATGCTTCACAGAGTTCAAGTAACAGACACATCTCAACATCAACTGTTCAGAGGAGACTGTGTGCATCAGGCCTTCATGGTCGAACTGCTGCAAAGAAACCACTACTAAAGATCACCAATAACAAGAAGAGACTTGCTTGGGCCAAGAAACACGAGCAATGGACATTAGACCGGTGGAAATCTGTCCTTTGGTCTGATGAGTCCAAATCTGAGATTTTTGGTTCCAACCGCCGTGTCTTTGTGAGACACAGAGTAGGTGAACGGATGATCTCTGCATGTGTGGTTCCCACCGTGAAGCATGGAGGAGGAGGTGTGATGTTGTGGGTGTGCTTTGCTGGTGACACTGTCTGTGATTTATTTAGAATTCAAGGCACACTTAACCAGCATGGCTACCACAGCATTCTGCAGTCATACGCCATCCCATCTGGTTTGCGCTTAGTGGGACTATTATTTGTTTTTCAACAGGACAATGACCCAAAACACACCTCCAGGCTGTGTAAGGGCTATTTGACAATGAGAGTGATAGAGTGCGGCATCAGATGACTAGGCCTCCACAATCAGCCGACCTCAACCCAATTGAGAAGAGTGAAGGAAAAGCAGCCAACAAGTGTAGCAGGCCGCGACCGGGAGACCCATGGGGCGGCGCACAATTGGCCCAGCGTCGTCCAGGGTAGGGGAGGGAATGGCCGGCAGGGATGTAGCTCAGTTGGTAGAGCATGGCATTTGCAACGCCAGGGTTGTGGGTTCGATTCCAGTATGAAAAAAAAATATATGTATGCACTAACTAATTGTAAGTCGCTCTGGATAAGAGCGTCTGCTAAATGACTAAAATGTAAATGTAAAATGTAAGTGCTCAGCATATTTGGGAACTCCTTCAAGACTGTTGGAAAAGCATTCCTCATGAAGCTGATTGAAAGAATGCCAAGAGTGTACAACTTGTCATCAAGGCAAAGGGTGGCTACTTTGAAGAATCTAAAATATAAAATATATTTTGATTTGTTAAACACTTTTTTGGTTACTACATGACTTCATATGTTACTTCATAGTTTTGATGTCTTCACTATTATTCTACAATGTAGAAAATAGTAAAAATAAAGAAAAACCCTTGAATGAGTAGGTGAGTCCAAACTTTTGACTGTTACTGTATGAAGCAAATAATATAACTATTTTTGTTTATATGATCAACCTTTTCTTCTAAGAGTGTACTGTAACCATTTTTTTCAGTTGTAGAGGGGTAAATCTGATTGAAATGTTGAGTTTAACTATCCTGTTAAACTTCTATAACTCCCTGACCTCCACATCATCTGTAAGTTGTATTTTATGTTATGTAAGCCGACAATAAAATGCTTTCTTATCTATCTTATCTTAAATGCTTCTTCGCCAATAATTTATTTTGGTGCTCGTTGGCTGGTTATTATCACATTTTATCAATCAAATAGAGCAATCTAAGAGTATATGGAGCAGTTGCTCAATAAAAAGTGATAAATGATTTATTTTAGAAAATAACAATAACACTACTTAAATCCTGCCGGTATGATGCTTCATAACTTGTTATAAGCACGTATGAGCCTTTATAATGTAATATAACTAATAACTAAACGAGCCACAGTAATAGAGTACTCACAGAGAGGTTGAGAGAGGCAGAGGTCCGTGGCTGGACTTTACTTCCTGGTGTTACTGCTGCTCCCAAAGGTCTTTGGGTTCTTGATGTTTAAGTTCTCATACACGCCGGACGGGTTGTCGTTCGTCACCCTGCATCACACAAACACACACGCACACGCACACACACGCACACACAGACAAAACATGGTGAGCTGAAATTCCATTTCATGTTCATTCAGACAATGTTCATTGGATGTGGATGGAATTATATGATACAGATGTCAACGATAGTGTGCATTTAGAGAGAGTAAAGTAGCATTTGTCTGTGGACTATGAGCAGTGTGTGTATTTGCAGGGCTACTCACACAGAGGAGGAGCGTGACACACATGTCATGTTGGGTTTTGACCGGGCGTTGGTCATCTGGGGGTATTTGATATTGGAGTACTCCCTCTCCTTCGTTTTGTTCCTCTGCAAAGTGGCCACAAGAAACCATGTTTTTATAACATGAAAAATAAGTTCGTTCATCATTGAGACAGGGTAGCATAACGCGCACCTGGCCAACATGTTTTGCTGGTTGACACCCAGAAATGTAATCCCTGTAACTCGGGTTCAACTTGATTGTTCCTTTGAATCAAGCAATTATAAAATGTTTGGGGCTCCAACTGTAAGGCAATACCTAGGCTCCAGACAGTCCTTTTAGAGAATATGTACTGCAATACTGCTGTTGGTACAGTAGTTACTAGTAGCTTTAGTAATAACTACTACTGTTCCTTGCTAATATACAGTAACTGTGACTAAAAGGGCCACGTTTACTGCTAGAATACTACTACTGCCACAGTAGTGACAATATTACAGAACTACTTCCACTACTCCTATACTACTGAGTGTTTGGTAGGTACCTGCTCCTCCTCCAGTCTCTTCTGTGCCGTGTCAATGTACTGCTGGACGGCCATGTAGATGAACTTATACTGGGCCTCCGTCTGCACCATGCCTGACCGCTGCTGACGGACCCTCTGGATGGTCTTAGGGATGTCGATATCACAGTCTAATCCTGAAACACACACACAAAGGTCAAAGGGCAGCATATTTAGCACAGTTACACAGATTTCTCCCAAATCCTAATCTCCACTACATGCAGATCCTTCCAAAAAAACAGGATCTCACAGCCGTAACGTTTGGATAGGACTGATGTCAGAGCCGTAACGTTTGGATAGGAAACAATCTCAGAGCTGTAACATTTGGATATGACTGATATCAGAGCTGTAAGGTTTGGACTGAACTGATGTCAGAGCCGTTACATTGGGATAGGACTGATGTCAGAGACGTAACGTTTGCCTAGAACTGATGTCAGAGCCGTAACGTTTGGCCAGGACTGATGTCAGAGCCATTGCGTTTGGATAGAACTGACTTTATAGCGGTAACGTTTGGTTAGGACTGGTAACCATAATGTTTGACATTCTCTTACCTTGTCTGTTGATGATGTCAATGAGAATGTCAATGACAATTATGGTGCCTGTTCTCCCGATTCCTGCACTGGGGGGGGTCAAAGGAGACAATAGCACTATATTACTACAATTAGGTGGCACTTTCATAACAGACATAGACCCAAACTACCATTCCGCTAAAGTTACAAGCAGAATTTTGGGCATACTCTATGACCATTGGCTCCTGAGTATTCCTGCACTACTAATATGTTACACTTACAAATATGAACAAATCTATATGAAATACTGAGCTTTATACTAAAATGTGAAAATACATCCTACTTTTTGGTCTGTTAAATGTATAGTATAACACTGATTAATGGTGTACTCTTGATGTATACAGTCCTAGACTACTAGACCCGTAATTATATATTTATCTTTCCATATCACATGACGGTGTTCTCCCAAACATAACCAATAAGGACGGTCATCACAAACAGAGAGGCATTTAGGCCCTTTAATGACCTCCTTTATGTCAGTAGGGCTTGGAGAGGTGTTGTGTCTGATACGTGCCATCTGTCACAATGTGTGCCCTCTGTCTGTTTTACCTGCAGTGGACCACAATGGGCCCGGTGTCTGGAATTGCGCTCTGCGTGCGGTTGACCTGCTCCAGGAAGCTGAGCACGCCCCCAGGCTCGTTGGGCACTCCATGGTCAGGCCAGCTCAGGTATTGGTAGTGCCAGATATACCTCACCAGCTCCCTCTACAGATGGAGATAGGTAGCACTACAGTTTACATGCCTATTTCAGCAGGCGTTCACCTGGGGGGGAATTCAGACCATAGTTATGCACGCGTAAATGGAACTACATTCTCTTTTTATGCACTTTTCTCTCTACACGTATTCTGACCTTGAACTTCGGGAAGCGCATGTGCCAGCCAGCTACACTACCGGTCAAAAGTTTTAGAACACCTACTCATTCAAGGGTACATTGTAGAATAATAGTGGAGACATCAAAACAATGAAATAACAAATATGGAATGATGTAGTAACCCAAAAAGTGTTAAACAAATCAAAATAGATTTTATATTTTATATTTAAAATAGCCACCCTTTGCTTTGATGACAGCTTTGCACACTCTTGGCATTCTCTCAACCAGCTTCATGAGGTAGTCACCTGGAATCCATTTCAATTAACAGGTGTGCCTTCTTAAAAATGAATTTGTGGAATTTCTTTCCTTCTTAATGCATTTGAGCCAATCAGTTGTGTTGTGACAAGGTAGGGGGGGTATAGAGAAGATAGCCCTATTTGGTAAAAGACCAAGTCCATATTAGTATCCTGTAGCTCAGTTGGTAGAGCATGGTGCTTGCAACACCAGGGTTGTGGGTTTGTTTCCCATGGGGGGCCAGTATGAAAATGTATGCACTCACTAACTGTAAGTCGCTCTGGATAAGAGTGTCTGCTAAATGACAAAAAAAATTAAAAATGTAAAATATTATGGCAAGAACAGCTCAAATAAGCAAAGATATGTGTTATTTCATAGTTTTGATGTCTTCACTATTATTCTACAATGTAGAAAATAGTAAAGAATTAAGAAACACCCTTGAATGAGTAGGTGTTCTAAAACATTTGACCAGTAGTGTATACGTTTGGGATGGAGATCACAGAAATGGAGGTGTGGCAGAGGTGTGTCTACAGATACGCGTATTCTGATCTTGATTTAATTTCCGGATAATTCCAGCACCTTTACGCGTGAGGAACCCATGAATAATGTTGCGCAACCTATCGGTTGCAAGTGGGAAAACACCTCTCATGATTTTCTCCGATAAGAATGACACCATTATCCATGCACTATAATTTATAATTTGATAAGAGCTATTACAGGTAAATTATTAGGTGTAATCAGTTTGGAGAAGGGGATGATAAACACAAATACTGAGAAAGCATAGCGATTGCTTTAGATTACTTTTCCTTATGATCACTTGAGAATAATGTGAAACCAGTCATGTGGAAGCAAGCTGAAAATGATATCATTATGATAGGTATTTTGGCTATAAATAGCTGTGCTGTAATTCTGAATTATAATTGTATGGCCTCATAATTTGTGGGAATGGAATTTGGAGACCCAAGCTAAATATGCCACTGTACCCTATATGGAAAGCCTTGCGCAAAGACAGTATCGCCGGACCGACCGAGTTGATTTGTGCACTATACTGTAATTAATGGTTAAATTATACACCAAGACTTTTCTCAATTAGTTTCATGTTTAATATTAGCCACTATCAGTAGCCACTCTCAGTAATACCCACACACATGTTTAACTGTCACTTCAGTGTTAGTTTCCTTCAATTTGTAGGAAGGGCGGACTGGGACCATAAATCGGCTCTGGCATTTCTAACACAAAGGCTCCTGAGTGGCGCAGCGGTCTAAGGCACTGCATCTCAGTGCTTGAGGCGTCACTACAGACCCTCTGGTTCGATTCCAGGCTGTATCACAACTGGCCGTGATTGGGAGTCCCATAGGGCAGCGTACAGTTGGCTGGTGTAGGCTGTCATTGTAAATAAGAATTTGTTCTTAACTGACTTGCCTAGTTAAATAAAGGTTAAATAAGGATTCCCTTGAGGGCCACACAACAGCCCATTTTATTCCTTGACGACACCATTATCAGACAGAAAATTATCATTTTGCACAAAAAAACAAATTGGAGATTTTTGGTTCCAACCGCTGTGTCTTTGAGAGACACGGTGTTGGTGAACGGATGATCTCCGCATGTGTATTTCCCACCGTAAAGCAGGGAGGAGGTGTTATGGTGTGGGGGTGCTTTGCTGGTGACACGGTCTGTGATTTATTTAGAATTCAAGCACACTTAGCCAGCATGGCTACCACAGCATTCTGAAGCGATACGCCGTCCCATCTGGTTTGGGCTTAGTGGGACTGTCATTTGTTTTTCAACAGGACAATGACCCAACACACCTCCAGGCTGTGTAAGTGCTATCTTACCAAGAAGGAGAGTGATGGAGTGCTGCATCAGATGACCTGGCCTCCACAATCACCTGACCTCAACCCAATTGTGATGAGTTGGACCACAGAGTGAAGGAAAATCAGCCAACAAATGCTCAACATACAGTGGGGGAAAAAAGTATTTAGTCAGCCACCAATTGTGCAAGTTCTCCCACTTAAAAAGATGAGAGAGGCCTGTAATTTTCATCATAGGTACACGTCAACTATTTTTTTTCTCCAGAATATCACATTGTAGGATTGTTAATGAATTTATTTGCAAATTATGGTGGAAAATAAGTATTTGGTCAATAACAAAAGTTTCTCAATACTTTGTTATATACCCTTTGTTGGCAATGACACAGGTCAAATGTTTTTTGTAAGTCTTCACAAGGTTTTCACACACTGTTGCTGGTATTTTGGCCCATTCCTCCATGTAGATCTCCTCTAGAGCAGTGATGTTTTGGGGCTATCGCTGGGCAACACAGACTTTCAACTCCCTCCAAAGATGTTCTATGGGGTTGAGATCTGGAGACTGGCTAGGCCACTCCAGGACCTTGAAATGCTTCTTACGAAGCCACTCCTTCGTTGCCCGGGCGGTGTGTTTGGGATCATTGTCATGCTGAAAGACCCAGCCACGTTTCATCTTCAATGCCCTTACTGATGGAAGGAAGTTTTTCACTCAAAATCTCACGATACACGGCCCCATTCATTCTTTCCTTTACACGGATCAGTCGTCCTGGTCCCTTTGCAGAAAAACAGCCCCAAAGCATGATGTTTCCACCCCCATGCTTCACAGTAGGTATGGTGTTCTTTGGATGCAACTCAGCATTCTTTGTCCTCCAAACACGACGAGTTGAGTTTTTACCAAAAAGTTCTATTTTGGTTTCATCTGACCATATGACATTCTCCCAATCCTCTTCTGGATCATCCAAATGCACTCTAGCAAACTTCAGACGGGCCTGGACATGTACTGGCTTAAGCAGGGGGACACGTCTGGCACTGCAGGATTTGAGTCCCTGGCGGCTTAGTGTGTTACTGATGGTAGGCTTTGTTACTTTGGTCCCAGCTCTCTGCAGGTCATTCACTAGGTCCCCCCGTGTGGTTCTGGGATTTTTTGCTCACCGTTCTTGTGATCATTTTGACCCCACGGGGTGAGATCTTGCGTGGAGCCCCAGATCGAGGGAGATTATCAGTGGTCTTGTATGTCTTCCATTTCCTAATAATTGCTCCCACAGTTGATTTCTTCAAACCAAGCTGCTTACCTATTGCAGATTCAGTCTTCCCAGCCTGGTGCAGGTCTACAATTTTGTTTCTGGTGTCCTTTGACAGCTCTTTGGTCTTGGCCATAGTGGAGTTTGGAGTGTGACTGTTTGAGGTTGTGGACAGGTGTCTTTTATACTGATAACAAGTTCAAACAGGTGCCATTAATACAGGTAATGCGTGGAGGACAGAGGAGCCTCTTAAAGAAGAAGTTACAGGTCTGTGAGAGCCAGAAATCTTGCTTGTTTGTAGGTGACCAAATACTTATTTTCCACCATAATTTGCAAATAAATTCATTAAAAATCCTACAATGTGATTTTCTGGAGAAACAAAATCTCAATTTGTCTGTCATAGTTGACGTGTACCTATGATGAAAATTACAGGCCTCTCTCATCTTTTTAAGTGGGAGAACTTGCACAATTGGTGGCTGACTAAATAATTTTTTTCCCCACTGTATTGTATTAACTCAGTCGGAGTCTCAACTTACTGTAGAGAATTAGAATAGTAGAATACACAAGCTTTTTTTCTCTTGTTATGTCAGTCTCTGACAGTCACTCACCCATATCCGCTAAACATTTTTAGATTGGTAAATTAGTCTAGCTAGCTATCTAAACTTGTAGTAATCATGGTTGACGGCGCTTGTAACGCCAAGGTAGTGGGTTCGATCCCCGGGACCACCCATACACAAAAATGTATGCACACATGACTGTAAGTCGCTTTGGATAAAAGCGTCTGCTAAATGGCATATTATGGTTGAATTACCGACCGGGTGGCCCCCATTTATTTTGTTATTCTCAATCACCTCAGATATCATTTAAGAAACAGCAAACATTTCTCTCTACCCTATGGTAAAATGTGTAGAATTGCAGGAAATTAGTTGTAAAACTGCACTTTTTCTCTCTGCCCCATTGCAAAATGTGTAAAATTGCAGCAAACTTGCTTTAAAACTGCAACATTTTCTCTACACCACATGACAAAGTGTATAATTGCAGGAAATTAACTTTTTTGTTATTATTATTCTCTCCGCTGTCAATAAGGGGGCCGCTAAAATGTTTTGCTCGCAACATTTTGCTTAGGACCCCCATAAGGCATGTGTTGCTATGTATGTTGGTACACAGACCCACAATGCCACAGCAGCCCATCATGATGAGTTCAGATTTGTTGTGGCATCCCCTCCCCATCAAAGTTGCCCATCCCTGTTTTAGAAAAACTAACTGAACAAAAACTCCCTGGTCAAATACGCAGGCTGCCCATTGGGTGCTTTTTCTGGGGTTGAATTCAATGTATTCAGTGTACGCAAGGGCGCCACACCAGCAAACCTGGTTACACACCTCTATAAGGTAAGTCTCAATACCAACTACTGAGAAGTGCGTAGGAAAAGCCATACATTTCCTATGTCGGAATCGGGGCCTTATGACACTATGCAGTAAAAAGGTTCTTACTTAATAGGGAACTGCACCTGCTGATTTGGCCTCGGTTTTTGGCTTGCTCCTCAAGAAATGCTGGCGGCCATGACAGAAGCCAAACGTGAGTTGGCTTGGGGGTGTGGTTTGATGTGTGTGTTTCTTGAGTGTGTCCTTGCCACCACCATGACACACCCATTTGTCAGAACCTTGCCCGCAGCCGTTTCCCCCCACTCAATCACAACAAACAAACCTCTGGCAGGTTGAGTTCAATAACTACAGGCAGATGTATGGGGAGATGCCGGCGGAAACTTTGAATTGGTCAGTAGCCTACAGAGTAATATGAGAAGAATGCAATTGTTGACTTTCTGTAGATATTCTAAACTAAGTGTTTTGATAACTTTCAAATGTAGTAACAGGTCCATGTAGAATAAACAACCCTTTACATAATACCATAGAAGCAGTGTTCTGCTAATACAGTATAACAATTTGCACCTTTCACTTTTTATTGTCATTCCCAGCCAATACAGATACTGTGCCTATCTGCATTTTGTCTGGTGTTAATGGGGCTACCTTGGCAAACATGTCAGAGTACCTCCCTGTGTGGTGTCCCGTATACAACAGGAGTTCATTGATCCTGGTGCAGAATACATTGGGTTTCTCCCTCCCCATATTGACTGATAACATTCAACCCAATAATAAATAAAAAAACAATACAAGTAAAAGTTGTGTCTAGTAAAAAATGTATGCAGAGTGCCAGGCCCCATTTAGAGACATCAGTATCAGTCTGGACTTCATCACATCATCTTGCAAGTCTCCATGTGCTGGCTCCATACATATTTCTGTGAACACATACACACATAGTCACTGTTCTATTACCAAGGCAGTTAGGATAGGTGATATATGACAAACACACATACTATTTCGAAGTTTGAACAGGTCAGACTAAACCTACCTAATTCTGGTCTCTCCATCGACGACCATTGGCGAGCAGGCAAGATGTGAGGCAGGAGGTAAGGTCTTTGCCAGCGCCCCATTGATGGGCATAGCAGCGTCGATCAGCTCCTGTCCCCTCATCAAAGATACTGGTCGGTCACACACAAACACACAGAGCACTGATTAGATTATCAATGGTGGTTATGATTAGCATGGTAGAACCAATCTGATCGCTGCATTCACCTTTTTATTTCACTTCAGATATCATGATATGTGAAGTGAAATATAATGGTAAACGCAGGAATCAGGCTGGTTCCCCCAGGCTAGGTTATGAAGGTGAATTGGGACAAAACTCGAAACTGTTTTCACCAACCTTATTCAAGTGTCCGCCCTATTCCAGTTATAGGAATGCTCACAGCGAGGGCACGTCTGCATGATGCTGAGGGTCCCCTTGCTGGTCTTCTCTATGTTGCATGTTCGGCTGCAAACTGGAAATCGCTCAAACAACTGCAGCAGGCAATCCTCATAAACAATGTACTTACTCATCTTATGAGGTGGTGTTGACTGGGAGGGCCTGTGACAGGGTGATACAATAGACAGCCAAGCGATAAATAGCATTTTTATTATAAAGAAAGGACAACGCTTTTTGATAATGCACTTCACAACCAAAATGACTCTACTACTTGTATCTGCTTGGCTGGGTAATTAACCTACTAGTTGATCAAACTGGGTATTTTTTTATACAACTTTTCACATAACACGTTGATGAAGCCATCTGTGTCATCAGGGAAGTAACTTGGGTCAATCTAGTTCTAGGTCGTCGCTAGTTACCACAGCCACAAAGTCAAACCCCGCCCATTTCTACAATTTATCTTAACCTAATCACACTGCTAACCTTATGCCTAACCTTAAATTAACACCAAAAAGCTAATTATTTGAATCAGCTGTGTAGTGCTATGGCAAAAACCAAAAAGTGCACCCCTTGGGGTCCCGAGGACCGAGTTTGGGAAACCCTGCCCTAGACAATACAGAATACACTTGTATATGCTACGAACTGAATTATAAATCTGATTGTAGGCTAACATTAGCTAGCTAGCTATCTATGTAACTTTAGCTAGCATGTAGCTAGCTAGCCTTCCTCGCTAGCATTATCAAAATATAACGTTACATAACCAGCAGTATTTAGACAATACACAATATACTTGTATGAGCTACGACCTACGTTGTAATGAGGTAATTAACTAGCTAGTTATCTAGCTAGCTACTCTAACGTTATCTAAAACGTTAGCTAGCCTGCATCGCTTTATCACAAGATAGCTACCAAGCTACATAACAAGCAATAACGTTATCTAAAGTCGTTAGCTAAGTTATACCAGAGAGGTCATTATATTCCAGTATCTCTAGTTATACTTACAACCACCGGTCGTTGCACACCAAGCTAACGTTACTTGTGCAGGCTCCAACCACCTATTCCGCATACTAGGGTCCTTCAGCAGGGCACGCAAACCATAGCATACTTTGGCTGTGGAGGCATGGTCAATCCATATGTGTCTTTTCAGTCAGCCGTCCTTTGAACGCGTTGGGAGATGAAACATGGCAGCCCCATTCAATTAAGGGAAGCGAAATGGGTGGAGGGGCGATTTGCACGTTGAACTTGGCAAAATAGTGCATTACTCAAATCTTACGGTGGTCACTCAGAAATGGCCTGTGGTACCTGTTAATTATACATTAATTTATCCAACCAGAAATCAACCCCCCATCACAAGTGGACTTAGTTAAGGTGAAAGACAATGTGCCATACCAAACTAGACCAATTTTATAAAGAACCTATTTGGATTTATGTGGTCACTACAGGGGGCTGTCTTACCCTGTCCAAACGCGTCACCTCCAGTTCCCTCAGGATGTAGTCCTGAGCCGGATGCTCCTCCACGTTCTTCACACTCACTTTCCCAAACTCCTTAGTGGCGTTGAGGTCGGGCCAGTAACGCACACACTTGTTCTGAAGAGGGAAAAGTGGAGCATTAGATAATCTAGAAGGCCACGCTTTCTTCACAAGTAGCTTTACAAGCAGCTTAGCTGTCATACTATCCTGCTCATCCCGGAGACTGGCTGACAACCAGCTGTTTTGGATGGGAGGGGGGGGAGTTAGCCAAACAATGTATTGCTAGCCTCCTGAAGTTCAGTTCTGATAAGTATCTATCCGTCCCTACATGCAACCCATCCACTGATGTACTTCTAAACAGAGATGGTGTCAGCGTGAGACCTTCATCCATAGAAATAGTATTACATTGACTTGATAGGAATGCCTATCCCCTTCCTCTCCCCTCTTTTATAAAAAAATTCTGAATGCCTAACGTTTTAATTTATTTGTGAAAAGAGCAAACTGGGATCCCCACCATGGGGGAATGTACAGTCGCGGTCAAAAGTTTTGAGAATGACACAAGTATTTGGTCTTCACAAAGTTGGCTGTTTCAGTGTTATGAGATATTTTTGTCAGATGTTACTATGGTATACTGAAGTATAATTACAAGCATTCCATAAGTGTCAAAGGCTTTTATTGACAATTACATTAAGTTTATGCAAAGAGTCAATATTTGCAGTGTTGACCCTTCTTTTTCAAGACTTCTGCAATCCGCCCTGGCATGCTGTCAATTAACTTCTGGGCCACATCCTGACTGATGGCAGCCCATTCTTGCATAATCAATGCTTGGAGTTTGTCAGAATTTGTGGGGTTTTTGTTTGTCCACCCGCCTCTTGAGGATCGACCACAAGTTCTCAATGGGATTAAGGTCTGGGGAGTTTCCTGGCCATGGACCCAAAATGTCGATGTTTTGTTCCCTGAGCCACTTAGTTATCACTTTTGCCTTATGGCAAGTTGCTCCATCATGCTGGAAAAGGCATTGGTCGTCACCAAACTGTTCTTGGATGGTTGGGAGAAGTTGCTCTCGGAGGATGTGTTGGTACCATTCTTTATTCATGGCTGTGTTCTTAGGCAAATATGTGAGTGAGCCCACTCCCTTGGCTGAGAAGCAACCTCACACATGAATGGTGTCAGGATGCTTTACTGTTGGCATGACACAGGACTGAGGTAGCGCTCACCTTGTCTTCTCCAGACTAGGTGTTTTCCGGATGCCCCAAACAATCTGAAAGGGGATTCATCAGAGAAAATGACTTTACCCCAGTCCTCAGCAGTCCAATCCCTGTACCTTTTGCACAATATCAGTTCTTGATGATCCGATAAATGGTTGATTTAGGTGCAATCTTACTAGCAGCAATATCCTTGCCTATGAAGCCCTTTTTGTGTAAAGCAATGATGACGGCACGTGTTTCCTTGCAGGTAACCATGGTTAACAGAGGAAGAACAATGATTTCAAGCACCACCCTCTTTTTAAAGCTTCCAGTCTGTTATTCTAACTCAATCAGCATGACAGAGTGATCTCCAGCCTTGTCCTCATCAACACTCTCGCCTGTGTTAACGAGAGAATCACTGACATGATGGCAGCTGGTCCTTTTGTGGCAGAGCTGAAATGCAGTGGAAATGTTTTTGGGGGATTAAGTTCATTTTCATGGCAAAGAGGGACTTTGCAATTAATTGCAATTCATCTGATCACTCTTCATGACATTCTGGAGTATATGCAAATTGCCATCATCAAAACTGAGGCAGCAGACTTTGTGAAAATTAGTATTTGTGTCATTCTCAAAACTTTTGACCACGACTGTATGTGGTTCCATAGATGATACCGTTATCGCCCGACCAGATTTTGGACCCAGTAATTATACTTCTATGCCCTCACCCGTCCTCTCTCCATCTCCTTGGTGGTCATGACAATGACGTGTGTTTTTTCCTGGTAGACCATCTTCCAGAAGTCGACCACGGTGTTCTGAAGGCAGCCCTGGGTGGCGATGAACACCTTGCCCTCCTCCACGTGGCGGCCCTCTTCATGCATACTCTGGACGAGAGAAACATACAGTACTTCATTAATTTCATGTCTTCATTCGTGGGGAACATATGAACATTGGTAGCCTGGTGGTGGTTCAGTCTGTTTGTGCTTTAGCCAACTCCTCACTGTGTTAGTTCATTTTCATGCCAAACATAGAAGAGTTGGCTATGACAGCACATAGGCTACAGTATGGGAACAGGACAAAACTTTGGGGCCCGACTGTGACAATATGTATGGGTCCATCAGTAGAGACATTGTGAGGAACTTCCAGAGTTTCCAGTGCTCAGATCTGTTTCATATTACGCACATTAGAATATGGCCATATTGCTGTAATATTTACAGTGCCTTCAGAAAGTAGTCATACCCCTAGACTTATTCCACATTTTGTTGTGTTACAGCCTGAATTCAAAATGATTTTTTTCTCTCACCCATCTATACACAATACCCCATAATGACAAAGTGGAAATTTGTTGTTTGACATTTTTGAATTTATTGACAACATTATGTATTCACACCCCTTTGCTATGCCGCTCCAAATTGAGCTCAGGTGCATCTAATTTCATTTGATCATCCTTGAGATGTCGCTACAACTTGATTGGAGTCCACCTGTGGCCAATTCAATTGTTTGGACAGGATTTAGAAAGAAACACACTTCTCTATATAAGGTCCCACAGTTGACAGTGCAAGTCAGATCAGAAATTATAAGTCCAAAGAACTGTCTGTAGAGCGCTGATATAGAATTGTGTTGAGGCATATATCTGGGGAAGGGTATAAAACAATTTCTAGTGTGTTGAACGTTTCCAAGAGCACAGTGGTCTCCATCATTGGGAAATGGAAAACATTTGGAACTACCCAGACTCTGCCTAGTGCTGGCCGTCTGACCAAACTGAGCAACAGGGCAAGAAGGTCCTTGGTCACGAGGTGACCATGAACCACATGACCACTCTGACAGAACTACAGAGTTCTTTGGCTGAACATATAACTTATCTGGGAGAACCTGCCAGACGGACAAAAGTCTCTACAGCACTTCACCAATCTGGGCTATATTGGACAGTGGCCAGACGGAAGCCACTCCTGAGAAAAAGGCACATGACAGCATGCCTGGAGTTTTCAAAAAGGCATGTGAAAGACTGAGAGCATAAGGCAAAATATTCTGTGGTCTGATGAGACAAAAATTGAACTCTTTGGCCTGAATGCAAAGCGCTATGTCTGGAGAAAACCAGGCATAGCGCATCACCTGTCTAACACCATCCCTACCGTGAAGTATGGTGGTGGCTAGCGTCATGCTATGGGTATGCTTTTAAGCAGCAGGGACTGGGAGACTGGTAAGGATAGAGGGAACAACGAATAGAGCCAAATACAGACAAATCCTTGATGAGAACCTGCTTCAGAGTGCAAACGACCTTAGAATGGGGCGAAGATTTACGTTACAACAGAACAATGACCCCCCCCCCCCCAAGCATATAGCCAAAGCAACGCTGGAATGGCTTCAGAACAAGAATGTGAAAGTCCTTGAGTGGCCCAGCTAAAGCCCAGACTTGAATCCCATTGAAAATCTGTGGAAAGACTTAAAGATTGCTGTTCGCCGCTCCCCATCTAACTTAACAGAGCTTGAGAAAATCTGTAAGGAAGAATGGAAGTAAATCCCCAAATCCAGATGTGCAAAGCTGATACAGACATACCCAAGACGACTCAAAGCTGTCATCGCCACCAAAGGTGTTCTACAAAGTATTGACTCAGAGGTGCAAATACTTATGTAAATTAGATATTTCTGTATTTCATTTTCAATACATTTGAAGACATTTATAAAAACCTGTTTTCACTTTGTCATTATGGTGTATTGTGGGTGAGAAAATAAATCAATCTTGAATTCAGGCTGTAACACAACAAAATGTGGAATATGTCAAGGGGTATGAATACTTTCTGAAGGCACTAAGTGTAAGGGGCAAATCAAATTCAAGCCAAATGTTCACTTTTCTGTTTCCATCTACTCGGGCCGGCACCCGTGTCTCACTGGGCCATGGCTCCGGCGGAACTGCTCTCGCTTGGGGTCAATGCCAAGCCCCTGGTACATTTCAGCTCACATTTACATAACAATGGCTAACTGTCAACTTTAACACCTTCTCACAAAGCAACTCGTTTGATTATGCAGAGGTTGTTGATTCTGCTCTTCACAAGTCCTCACTGTCAGCCCTAGCTGACAATTTCCCTAGTATAACATAAGGGTGTATACACTAGTGTAACACTGGTGTTATAGTCAAAAAGCAGCATTAGTCATGCTTTGATGTCAATGGGAGATTAAGGGAAACATTTACTTAAGTGGAAGTTAGGATTCGCCCCTAAGTGCAATTATTCCACTCAGCTATGAAGTGCATAACTCAATTCTTGGTTCTTCATCTCCAGGCTGTTTCCAGAACTCACTCTGATGTAGTTGGCGTTGATGTAGTTGGAGCCAGGCACGTCTGTATCTGCTTCCCTGATCTCCACCCGTGTGGTGTCAACTGGAACACAGATAGACAGGGATTAGGGTCTTTGGTCACACACGCACAGGGAGGTTTTGTAGACAGGAGGTACAGGTCGATATCTCACTCACAAGGGAGGATGTTCTTGTATCTGTTTTTACTCTTGTTCTCTGCTCTCTGCCCTTCTTTCCTAGGGTAGAGGAGCTTACACTCCTGCTGCTGTAGCACCTGGAAGAAGAGAGAAGAAAGAAGAGAAGAGAACAAGGTGAGAGAAAGAAGACATACAAAAAAGTCAGACAGAGGCAGTATCTGAAATGGCATTCCCCAATGGCAATCTAGTGCAATATTTTTGACCAAAGCCTAGGAAGTCATTTTGGAGTGAAGAATCTGAGCCACAGAAAAAGCACGAGTTAACTATTACACTAAGGACATCAGTCTGACATGTAATGTAAATATAATTAGATCATAATAATTTGAGTTTGGCTTAGGCCTGCTTTGGGTATGTTTGGTCACATATACAGTAGGGGTCACTATGGATTGGATGTACATCAGATCATGAATCTTATTATGTAAACTCATGCTAGACAACTTTTTGTATAGTCATGCCTGAACACACCTGGCCCTATGCAGTGTGTACCCATCCACTGCCCCTAGGGGAGGCTGAGGGTAAAATCAAGAGGTTATAATGAGACAAATCCCTTAGACCCAGGTTGTATCCCAAATGGCACCATATTTCCTATATAATAATAATATAATATAATATGCCATTTAGCAGACGGTTTTATCCAAAGCGACTTACAGTCATGTGTGCATACATTTTTACGTATGGGTGGTCCCGGGGATCGAACCCACTACCCTGGCGTTACAAGCACCATGCTCTACCAATTGAGCTACAGAGGACCACACTATATAGTGCACAACCTTTGATCAGGGCCCATAACCAGACTATGACAGGAACCAGTGGTGTCCATCTTAGAGTTAACAATAATGTGCTGTGTGTTGTCCTTCAGGAAATGCCTCATGAACATACTGGATTTACATTCTCTTAATCTTGACTTCCATGTTTTGGAATATGAGATGATATGTGTAATCCACAGTCATTTAAACACACTGGCGGTGATGACGATACCACCGCTCTCGTACCTCAAACTCTTCCCAGAATCCCTGTTTGGGCTTCTCTGAGTTGTCGGCCACTTTGTTTAGTTCCTTCACCCTGTTCTCAATGTTGGCTGCATTTATCCTGGTGGCATTGAAGGGCTTCCGTTGGGAAAGGGAAGAGCAGTACATTAACTCCATGGATTATCATATGATCCACCCTTCACATTAAATTATATTACTGCTATAGAATTTGCAGCATACCCATCCTTTGAATGACACTTAATTAATATACTTAACACATCCGGTTTTATCAGAGTAGATGTTGTTCTGAAAACAACATGGCTTCCATTTTCTTTACAAGTCCAACATTGTTTCATGTGCGGCTGTCTGAATGCACTGGTCCAGTCTCTCACCTGTTTGAGGTGAACAACAATTCCACTCTTCTCCACCATGGGGTTCTTCTTGTAGTGATCCACCAGGTCAGCCAGCGTGTCAAACCTCTCTCCTCCACCCACGTCATACTTCCCATCCTGCTGGAAACACACATAAATTATGTTGTTTGCTAGCCCTTCTAGCCTGCTAGCCCCTACTAGCCTGACAGCTAGCTTGCCTACAAGCCTGCTATCCCTACTAGCCTGCTATCCCTGCCAGCTAGCCGGATAGCCCCTAGCCTACCTGCTAGCCCTACAAGCATTCTAGTCCTTACTAGCTGGTCATGGCTAGAAGGGATGCAGCTAATGTCAAAAGTTGCATGTTTGAGTTGCGTCGGGAGCATTTTTGCTAACCCTAACCCTTTTCCTAACCTTAACCTAATTCTCCTAACATCTAAGATCCACCACCATATTTTACAGTAGGTATGGGGTTATTTTCTGCTCATGCATTCTAATTTCGACGCCAAACCCACCACTAGTGTGAGTGGCCAAAGAGCAATTTTTTCATGTCATCCAACAAATGTAAACGCCTGGAGTTTGTTAAACGGCATTGGCACTTGGATTGGTTACCGGTGCTTTGGTCAGATAACATGAAAATAGAGCTCTTTGGTCCCGCACACCAGTGGTGGGTTTGGTGTCGAAATGCGAATGCATGAGCAGAAAATAACCCCATACCTACTGTAAAATATGGTGGTGGATCTTTGATGTTATGGGGCAATTTCCATCCACTGGTCCTGGGACTCTTGTTAAGGTCAACGCCTTCATGAACTTTACCCAGTACCAGGACATTTTAGCCAAAAACCTGGTTGCCTCTGCCAGGAGGCTGAAGCTTGGCCGCAAGTGGATCTTCCAGCAAGACAATAACCCCAGGCACACATCAAAATCCACAAAGAAATGGTTAATTGGCCACAAAATATATATATTTTGTAATGGCCATCTCAGTCACCTGTGGTTTTAATTGAAGAGGGCAATCCATAAGTGTAGATGAAGGATATCAAGGATCTGGAAGGATTTTGTATGGCGGAATGGTCTAAAATCCCTCAGAATGTGTTCTTCAACTCATAAAACATTATAGAAAAAGGCTCAGTGCCGTTATCCTCGTATTGTGAGGTTATTGAAAGGTATTGAAAACAGGGGTGTCAATAATTTTGACCTCTACCTTTGGGAAAAAAAGTATTACTTGTTAAACAAGATCTTTCTCTGAGCAATTGTATTTTTTGAGCATACAATATAGCTCAGTATTTAAATTATTTATTACATACAGTTATTTTTTCTCATCTTTATCAAGGATGTCAATAATTTCGGACCCCACTGTATATGTGAAGGCCCTAGCTGGTCTTACCTGGTAGCGAATCATGACGTGGGTGACCTTGGTCTTGCGGTCTACGTTCTCGTGTTTCTCCTCATTGGTGAGGACAGAGAGCACAAAGTCACCCGGCTTGCTCTGGCTCTCCCGTACCAGGAAACTGCCAGGCTTGCCCTTGTCCGTGAGCAGCTTCTCAGCGTCGCGCCCAGAGAGGTGCCCGTGGTACCACCTAGTGTAGATCGGTAGACAATTTATGACTATTATGTTTGAAAATACTAATACTATTAAAAAGTAATGAGGAAATGGAAATCACCCCAACCCTTCCATTTACGTGTAATTGTTTACATAAGAAATCGAAAAGTGTGTGTGTGTGTGTTTCTGACCGTGTGAGTTTGCACATGTGATGGTGTTTACAAAGAAATCTAAATTGTGTGTGTCTGTGTGTTTCTCTGTATGAGCGCTTGCACATGTAAATGTGTAGGAGGTTCCAGCAAGAGATCTCAACGGGTGTTTCATGGAGAAATCACAGAAACCATCCTCTACAGAGATCACACGTTGTTCTTGGAATTAGATGCAAACTGATACACTGTACTTCCCACTGTGTAGAGAGACAGAAATGCCAGCACAGATACGTTCGTGAAGGTTATAACAGGGTGTGTGTGTGCGCGCATTTTATTGTAAATGCTGTGTCTGTGGTTGTTTTCATTTATGTGTGTGTGCAGCTGTGTGTGTGCATGCGTGTGTGTGTGTGTTTGTGCGTACCTCTCGGAGGTGGGGTCCTTACAGTTGAGTGGGTACTTGAGCTCGATGACGTCTCCGTTCCTCTCTCTGAGGAGGTCGTGCTGCTCTGTGTAGTATTGCACCAGCTCTGCCAGCGTGGCAAACTTCTCCCCTCCATACAGGTCGTAGTAGTCCCCTGAGTTCTGGATCTTAATGTGGGTGACCTCATTGTTCCGCCTGACACACACACAGGGGAAGAGAGGTTGGAGTCAGGGTTAGTCATAGTGCACATTGTTTCAGATAGATTACTATATATTATGTAACAGGTGCACCCTGCAGCATGTAGCAGAGGTTAATAGGGTACAACTGTTCTCTCTGTGTGTGTTTGTGTGATGTGAGGCCTGCTGAAAGGATAATGTATTCTAGCCGCAGGTCGTGCTCAGCACCTATTTGGAACCGCAGCAATGTGTTTCATTAGTGTATGTGAATGAGAAAAAGTATGTGTGGGTGTGTGTGTGGGTATGACAGAGAGAGAGAGTGTGTCCAAATACCCGTACTTGCGTTCTAAATAGTAGGCATTTTGGGTAAGCGAAACAATAATGTTTTATAGTATGTGAAATTTCAAAAAATGTGTATGCAGTGTTTCTATGTCAAACGGTTTTGTTATATTTCAGACTTCTGTGATGTACATAAAGTGTAATATTGGGATGAAACTCAAAACGTATTACATTTCAACTCTATATCTGACATGGTACAGGTGTCTTCTTTCTTTAAGACCATAACCATGTGTGTGAGGTGTATACTTTTGTTTTAAAGTAGATTTGTTTAAGACTACTAAGTAAAAGGTTGTGAGTAGTAAAGCCAGATTTCGGATACGGCCAGAGTGTGTGTTTGTGTTTATGTACGTGGCTGCGTGTGCCTGAACAGAGCAAGCGAGAACACCACGAAAACCCACATGAAAATAACAGGTTGATGTGGTACCGTGAATACCCAATCATTTCTGCACAAGAGGAAACCATTTGTTAATCAAGTCTATGTGGAAATAAGACTGTTTTGCTAGTAAGAAAAACCTTATCAGACAAGATTATCCCTCTATAATACCCTGTTGATTTCATATTAAGGGCTTAGAAGAGATTGATTTGGAGTGAGTATTTGAGAGCAACTGGTTTTCACTAAATGCAGGTGGCTAGGGAGCACAGATAAGGTCAGAAAACAGTCTGCCACTTCACAAAATACACAGCCACAAAGAGACACAATGTCACACACACATGCACGCACACAGCATTCTAAACCGAAACATTCTCATCAGCATGGAAACAAGAAGTCAAGAACGAGTTGAAAAGACAGCTACTAAATGTACATAATTTTTCTATTTTTCCATTTCCAGTTAACATTTCAGAGCAATACAGTGGGGAAAAAAAGTATTTAGTCAGCCACCAATTGTGCAATTTCTCCCACTTAAAAAGATGAGAGAGGCCTGTAATTTTCATCATAGCTACACGTCAACTATGGCAGACAAAATGAGATTTTTTTTCTCCAGAAAATCACATTGTAGGATTTTTAATGAATTTATTTGCAAATTATGGTGGAAAATAAGTATTTGGTCAATAACAAAAGTTTCTCAATACTTTGTTATATACCCTTTGTTGGCAATGACACAGGTCAAACGTTTTCTGTAAGTCTTCACAAGGTTTTCACACACTGTTGCTGGTATTTTGGCCCATTCCTCCATGCAGATCTCCTCTAGAGCAGTGATGTTTTGGAGCTGTCGCTGGGCAACACAGACTTTTAACTCCCTCCAAAGATTTTCTATGGGGTTGAGATCTGGAGACTGGCTAGGCCACTCCAGGACCTTGAAATGCTTCTTACGAAGCCACTCCTTCGTTGCCCGGGCGGTGTGTTTGGGATCATTGTCATGCTGAAAGACCCAGCCACGTTTCATCTTCAATGCCCTTGCTGATGGAAGGAGGTTTTCACTCAAAATCTCACGATACACGGCCCCATTCATTCTTTCCTTTACACGGATCAGTCGTCCTGGTCCCTTTGCAGAAAAACAGCCCCAAAGCATGATGTTTCCACCCCCATGCTTCACAGTAGGTATGGTGTTCTTTAGATGCAACTCAGCATTCTTTGTCCTCCAAACACGACGAGTTGAGTTTTTACCAAAAAGTTATATTTTGGTTTCATCTGACCATATGACATTCTCCCAATCCTCTTCTGGATCATCCAAATGCACTCTAGCAAACTTCAGATGGGCCTGGACATGTACTGGCTTAAGCAGGGGGACACGTCTGGCACTGCAGGATTTGAGTCCCTGGCGGCGTAGTGTGTTACTGATGGTAGGCTTTGTTACTTTGGTCCCAGCTCTCTGCAGGTCATTCACTAGGTCCCCCCGTGTGGTTCTGGGATTTTTGTGTGGTTCTTGTGATCATTTTGACCCCACGGGGTGAGATCTTGCGTGGAGCCCCAGATCGAGGGAGATTATCAGTGGTCTTGTATGTCTTCCATTTCCTAATAATTGCTCCCACAGTTGATTTCTTCAAACCAAGCTGCTTACCTATTGCAGATTCAGTCTTCCCAGCCTGGTGCAGGTCTACAATTTTGTTTCTGGTGTCCTTTGACAGCTCTTTGGTCTTGGCCATAGTGGAGTTTGGAGTGTGACTGTTTGAGGTTGTGGACAGGTGTCTTTTATACTGATAACAAGTTCAAACAGGTGCCATTAATACAGGTAACGAGTGGAGGACAGAGGAGCCTCTTAAAGAAGAAGTTACAGGTCTGTGAGAGCCAGAAATCTTGCTTGTTTGTAGGTGACCAAATACTTATTTTCCACCATAATTTGCAAATAAATTCATAAAAAATCCTACAATGTGATTTTCTGGATTTTTTTTCTCAATTTGTCTGTCATAGTTGACGTGTACCTATGATGAAAATTACAGGCCTCTCATCTTTTTAAGTGGGAGAACATGCACAATTGGTGGCTGACTAAATACTTTTTTCCCCCCACTGTATTTGTCTGCAGCAAAAGGCCAAACCAATGCACAAACATGAACTTTGTCTTAGTACACCTACACATTTAGAATAAGTCGGTTTTTGAGCCTGCAGCAAACCACAACTCCCACTCTACACACATTTACAAAAAATATCATACTGTAGCTAGCGATCTAACTCAGGAGGTTAAAAAATTGACAAAACTGCACATTATGCTATCTGATATCTAGCTTTAATGCAATTAGCTAGTCCTCTCTGCAAATTGATGATCAAGTAACGGTCATATAAAGTGGAACTTTTCCTCTCTCTCTCTCTCTCTCTCTCTCTCTCTCTCTCTCTCTCTCTCATATATATAAACCTGCACTCTCTCCTTCCCTGTAATTGTGTTATGAATGTTTGAGTGGAGCAGTATGCCTCCCTGTCTGTGGCTACTAATGGCCCGTGGCGGCTGCACTGTTTGTGTGTGTGAGTGTGCGTGTGCGAGCTTGCACCAGGCTGTTTGTGGGAGTTTAACACAATTAATGACATCGCATTGAGCCAAAAACATCCAACTAGATTTTACTCTGCGGATGGGATTGGTCTCTTGCAGACTTGGAGATATAGCACACATAATAATTGTGCCATACAACATCCATTAAGCTGATTTTGACAATGGCAATGCTGTTGTACAGAATTATGTGAATATTGTTTTTTGGACATACAGTGGGGTCAGGAATTATTGGATGCCTTGATAAAGATCAGCAAAAAGACTGTATAAAATAAATAATACAAATACTGAGCTCAAATGTTAATATATATTTATATAAAAACTATCTAAAAAAGATAGGGGTCAAAATGATTGGATCCCCTGTTTTCAGTACTCCAGCACCCTGGATAACGACACTGAGCCTTTTTGTAAAATGTTTTATGAGTTTGGAGAACACGTTGGGAGGGATCTTAGACCATTCCTCCATTCAGAATCTTTCCAGATCCTTGAAATCCTTCCTCTGAGTTTATGGACTGTCCCCTTCAATTCAAATCACAGGTTTTCAATGGGGTTCAAGTCAGGAGACTGAGGTGGCAATTGCAAAATGTTGATTTTTGTGTTCAATTAACCATTTCTTTGTGGATTTTGACGTGTGCCTGGGGTTATTGTCTTGCTGGAAGATCTACTTGCGGCCAAGTTTCAGCCTCCTGGCAGAGGCAACCAGGTTTTTGGCTAAAATATCCTGGTTCATGATGCCATTGATCTTAACAAGGGAAGCAAAGATCTAACACCAGATTTTACAGTAGGGATGAGGTATTTTCTGCATATGCATTGTTGTTTTGAAGGCCAAACCCACTGTTGGTGTACGTGACCAAATACCTCTATTTTTATGTAATCTGACCATAGCGCCGCCTGGAGTTTGCTAAACGGCATTGGCACTTGGATTGGAACCGGTTGCTATGGTCATATAGAGGTCTTTGGCCACACACACCAGCAGTGGGTTTGGCCTTTCGAAATAACAATTCACGTGAGGATTTCTGGTACAAGAACAGTCCCCACAAGAAAAAGGTTTAGGGTTAGAATTTAGGGTTAGGGGTTTGGGTTAGGGAAAATAGGATTTTGCATGGGAATCAATTGTTTGGTCCCCACAAGGATAGTAAAACAAAGGTGTGTGTGTGTGTGTGTGTGTGTGTGTGTGTGTGTGTGTGCGTGCGGGCGGGAAGGTGGAGGTGTAGGATCCATCTACCTACAAGCCCTTTTGACTACAAGGATGGAGGCCGCTGCACTTGTTGTTTAACATCTGGAGCAACATTAGGTCATTATCAATCTTCACTGGCCCACCCATGGTTCAGGAAGAAGGAACACACACACACAATGACACTATGTAGTCCCTCTTCCCCACTTTCCTTTTATCTACTGGCTTCCTATCTCTAATTACAAACGTGTGTATCAAACAGGCCTTTGGACAGATTCGTACACATGTCGACATCAGTATATGTGAGTGCTGAGGGCAGAGTCACTAACCACTAGACCACCATGGCCACATGTCTCTGTTACATAGTATCCAGTGAGAACACAATCCACTTATCAAAATGAGATGAATCAACATTCTATAGGTCTATTTGGCCAATGCATTTAATTGATTGGATCTATAAATAGCCCGACTGCAATGGAAATATGTCTAATGGAAGTGAATGGAGGCAATGGCATACGTAATACGGGGAGAAAATCCATCCACAGTCCCAGCTAATGCCCTCTAAACTTCTCTGATCAAGAGCATAG